CACCGGACTGAGTCCAGTACAGCTAGATGGTGCCCGGCTACCACCACTGACTGCTCTGACCAGGATCACAACAGAGGGTTCCGGACAGAGCTGGATAAGGATGTAGAACAAAATTCTGACTCACAAAAGAAAAGACCAGATTTACTGGCCTAAAGGAGACTGGAGAATCCCCAAGATTATGGCCCCCAGACACCCTTTTAGCTCAGTGTTGAAGTCATTTCCAAGGTTCACCATTCAGGCGGGAAGTGGACAGCCCCATAAAACCAAATGGGACTAATGAGGCACAGCAGTCCAGGGAACAAGGGCCAGAAGGCAGAAGGGGACAGGAAAGCTGGTGATAGGGAACCCAAGGTTGAGTAAGGATAGTGTTGATGTGTTGTGACGTTGTTAACCATTGTCATAGGGCAATATGTGTACTAAGTGTTAAATGAGAATCTATCTTGTTCTGTAAGCCTTCATCTAAAGTGAGAATAGCAGCACAATTGGAAGAGCGTAGTCGATGTCAATGAATTGTGCATATAGAAATTTTTGAAATGGTGTATCTTTGGCTATGTATATTTTCACCAGAAAAAAAAAAAAAGAGTCGAGAACAGAGATGGTTGACATGTTGTGGGGTTGTTAACCAATGTCATAAAACAATATGTGTACTAATGTTTCATGAGAAACTATTTGTTTTGTAAGCCTTCACCTGAAGTACAACTTAAATAAATAAATAAAGGACATTTAGCACAAGGCAGTTACCTTCATGATTCATAGAGATGAGGAAATCAAGGAGTAAGGAATTTAGGGGGCTTGCCAAAGCACACTCAGCTCAACCAGCTGCTAAGTGTGGACTCGTTTCTGAACACTGGACAGAAATCACTGAAGAAAATAATATCTGACTGTGAAACCCGATCTGAACAGGCAGGTAGTATCTCCATTCAACCCCTAGTTTCATCAAGTCCTCAGTTTGACTTGGTTTATATTTTACTTCTTGTTTTCATCCTCAAAACCATTTGAAATTCTCAGTATGTACGGCAGGTGTGTCAAGGATACGTTATTGACACAGGAGTGCTGATTAGGAGACAGGGTGAGAAGGCTGTTTGGCCCTTTGCTCAGTTCCACAACACTGAATGGCTTGATTCTGTAAAAGGAGACCAGATCCTTCTGACCAATACAGATAGAAATTATCTCCTTCTTCTACTCTCATGACAAGAAGGATCTAGAGCTATCCACTTGGCATTTTTAAAACACTTTTTACCTTAAGAAAAAAAAAATTGTAAGGTGTTCCATTTGGAAAGAACCAAGTCGCAATTTCTATCTCTTAAAAGGCAATAGAAAAGGAGGTAAGCTGAGTGACATATGACATACAAAGCACCTAAATACAACTTAACTGAAATGAAGCGCTGCTTGTCTGACTCAAGGTCTCAGCCTTCACACAAGAAAAAGCCCTCAAGATGCCACTAATCTTTTGAGTAGCTTGTCATATACCAAGGCCACTGAGCCAGCACTGACCTAGCCAAGTAACCCAACAGCTAACTCCTCTAATACAAGATTTACTACAAAGATTTACTGCCCTGTGATGCTTAACTTTTGCCTTTGTGAGAAACCTAACCATTTATGCCTGGCTGGAATCTGTAACAGGCAAGCTGATTTTAACAGCCCTAACCTGCCAAATGACTCAAAAACCACTCACTCATCCTTGCAGAAATGATGGCTGTCTTGGGCACCAGGGTTTAATATAACGTCATAAGAGAACAGTAAACGGGTTAATTCTATTTCATGAACTAGAACATAATGCAGGGGAGCCAACTGTAAATTTTTCAAGCACTAACTTTATAGGAAACCCTGGCGGCGCAGTGGTTAAAAGTTCGGCTGCTAACAAAAAGGTCAGCAGTTCGAATTCACCCGGCGCTCCTTGGAAACCCTATGCGGCAGTTCTACTCTGTCCTATAGGGTCGCTATGAGTCAGAATCAACTCGACAGCAATGGGTTTAGGTTTTTTTTTTTGAATTTTATATAATCTAAGTCTGTTTTTTTTTTCTTTTTCTTTTTTTTAAGTCAGAAGAAATAGTATTAAAATGTATTTACAAGCAGTGGACAGGATACATGATTTTGAGAACACACCACTGAAAGAATGATTTCTCAAGAACATTATTCATACTGGGAAAATGCATTTTTAAGACCAAAGAAGCAAGACATCATTGCAACTGCCAAATGCTTCGTCCACTTTTTTCTGTGAAAACGTATCTGTGCGTAAGTAATCTGTTCCTAGGAGCTCAGCAGCAACACGGAAACTACAAAGACATCCTTGCCCAACAAGCCTCAACACAGAACACCAGCCCTCCAGGCCTGCTTCAAAGAGGATAACCTTGAATTTATCACAGCTAGTTAGCTCTTATCAAAAGCTCAGCTGAGGGAAGTGATATTTATGGCAGATTATCTAAGAGCCCTGTTTTCCATCTCCAGGTATTCTAGGTGCTAGCCATGAATCAATTTCTGGGCACCAGAAGGCTTGGATCATTTTCTATCTGTCTTCTACTCCCCAAAAGAATCACCTTTGCTAAACTATATATTTATCTTATGGCCTTGGCTTTTATCAAGGCATGTTTCTTGTAAACACTATAAAGAGCATTTTCCATGATCTTATTCTACGGTCTGTGTGCAATGCCCCTTCTAAGAAAGTTTTTAAAAATTTCATTTAATTCAGTGTCCTGAAGGATGAGTATGCTTTCTCTTTTCTGACAGTGAAACTTAGACAGCCAACTCTAGTCTCCCTTTCATCTAAATTTCAAACTCATGGCACCTCTATTGGCTCTCGAGACTAGTACATTTGTTTTCTCCTTGCCTTGGTCCAGACAATCTATTTCTATTATGATGTATTAATATGTGACTTATTATCTATTAATATATTGTTTATTTTATATCTGTTATCTAATTAATTGTGTCCCAACATTTTTAAGAAAGGTGTAAGTACAATTAAAACACAACTTGTAACATGAACCCTGTGCATGCATTGACACGAACATACCCAAAATAAACCACATATAACTCGAGATCTTAGCCCTGTGAAGTACGATGATATATATAATCGTCCCCATTTGACATACCAAACACATCAATATGTTATGTAGAGGACTTGCCCAAAGGCAAAACAGAAAGTAAGCAAAGGAGATGCTGACACATAATTCAACATCATTCCCCAGCAAGGCTATGCCTGGGAATTCAAGTGCTGTGCTAAATTCTGGTTACCAACCTCCTCGCCACTGGCTATTCGATGAGCCAGATCTTTCAAGTTTCTCATCATTCTTTCATCCCGAAAATCATAAGGAAATGTTTCTGTCCATTCTGTCAGGAGTTGAAGGATTTTCGGTGCAATTTTTCTTATCTGGTTCTAGGGAGAAAAAGCATACAATTCAGTGCTATCTGTCACATGGACTACATCAAGGAAATAATTCCAACAATGTCACTGATTAATTTCTAGTGCAAAGTCTTTGAGGCTGAAGAAGCTTCAGCCTCCTCCTACCTTCGCTAGAAATGCCAAGTGCCACCAACATAAGGTAGGATCAAGGAGTCCTCCATGGCTTTAGATTTATATACCATGTTCTTTGTAACCTTCCCAACTCCCTGTGCAAAGATAGCTGTCATCGAATTGGCCCCAACTCATGACAACCCCATGTGGTACAGAGTAGAACTGCTCCATAAGGTCTTCTTGGCTATAACCTTTCTGGAAGCAGTTTGCCAGGCCTTTCTTTCAAAGAGCCGCTGCGTGGGTTCGAACTACCAACCTTTAGGCTAGCAAACACAAACCACTTGCAATACTCAGGCTGCTGGGGCTGGGGTAGAGATATACTAGGGTTGCTTAAAGGAACCAACTTCACAAAAATTAAGCTATAAAGTAGGAAAAAAAATTGTTATGTTAAAAAGGTATCATTACCTTATCGCTGCTAGGATCACTTAGTCTCTGGTGTTCAACACACAGGTGGCAAACTTTGGCCATTAGCTCATATGGATGCATAAATAACCGAGAACTGAGTAGGAAGGTAAATATGTACGTTCTCTGTGGCAAAAGAAAAAGAGTCATTATGGTCACATTCTCTCTGAAACTAACACCTCTCTCCTATATATTATATTTCTTATTTTAGTACATTGTCTTGATCAAAGTTAATATGCTGCAGTTTCAAAACTGATGCCTACTAGTATTAAGACACAGTGCGAGACGGATTTCTCCTTGACCTTCTGATGTATCTTCTTCCTTAAACCATACTAAAAGTAACAGAAGTAGGATAAGTTTAGCTCCTAATATCATTCAGAACACATTTTCATGACCATTCTCAAGGAGCCAGGATATCGGGACACATAATTCATTCTAGTCAAGCAGAATGGAACTCAACCCAGAGAGAGAAACCTAACTTAAATATATCACCCATACAGAATCTTCGTGCATGTTATAATATTATGGTAACTCAATGGAACCTGTCCTCCAAAAAAAAGAATTCTTCAGTGTGGCCAGTGTGACACACTGCAGTGTTTGTGTTAGGACATTCAAAGGCCGGCTTTTAAGTAATCTATTTGCTTGCTCAGAGGCTCAGCAATTTGATAAAAGCACAATGTAACACTATATACTTTTCTTTAACCACACTGTCTCTCAAGAAGCCAGTAATGAAGTAGTGCTTATTTGTTATAATAGTTTCAGACTCCCAATGAAAAGTGAAATTCCATGGGGTTTTATTATTTATTTTTCCTTAGGCCCCTTGCATAGCTCGTAAACACTTACAGGGCTGAACAAGGGATTCCTTTTACTTTTGATTACAAGTTTGCTCTGTGTGGCAACATATTTGAAAATGCTATGTAACAAATCAGATACAGGGAGAGAACTCAGTCAGAAACATTATGTTGTATTACTGTGGCAAGCACAAACTATCCTTTGCAGACCAAGGTCATTATTATATTTATGAAAACACACAGATGTAGTGTCTGGACATTTTCATGAAATGATTATCAACAACCAGCTGGTTACTAAATCTCATCACACTACTAAGCTCAACTCCAAAAGGCCAGCTGTGGCACAAGGGAGGGAAAAAACAGCCACTTGCCCCAGAGATAAAAACCCATGTCTGAGTGCTGATCCTGGGAGTGAGGCTATGTGCAAATTACTCAACACTTTGAACTTCAGTTTTTTACTCTCTAACCTCTTAGAATTACTGTTAAGTTTGAGAAAATGTATAAAGATGTCCCCAGATGTCCTATCTATTCAAATGTAGGTTATCAAGGTAAGACATGTGAACATATCACCTGATGTTCAATCTACAAAGAACTGCATCCTGAGTATAAGTCTTGTTCTCTCTTCTATGTACTTTCCTTGGCTAACTTCACTATTTTCATCATAATGATGGTCTTGGGGGGTTAAAAAAACAAGTATTCTCAGAACATCCAGTGTTCTCTGGCATTTTTTTTTTTTAAAGGACCAATACAAATGTACAGATACTTCATTTAGGTGCTATCTGACTGCTTTCAATGCAGTACCTGACTTGAAAAGCAACAGATATGCAGACAACACCAAAATCTGATCCATACCCCAACTCGATTTGATCTCAAGGCACTCAATCTAGATATGCAGACAATACCTTCAGCATAATCAATGTGCAATTTATTATTAGAACAACTCTTAGCAACCCAGATATAATTCTGCAGTTATCTATGGTCCCTGCCTACTGTATTGTAACTTCTGCTTAGTACCAAGGATTGTTTTAGAGGAACATGAATACCTACATCTGGATAGTAATCCACGTTCGGTACTAAGTGCTGGATGAGTGCTTCCAGAGATCCAGAAAGGAGGTTGTTGTCATGGTAATACAACCCTCCACAGCTGTCTTCTGTAGACTGATAGAGGTTTCGGTTGTAACCACTGCTGTCAAACATTGCTGAAAAGGGAGGAGTCTGAGGCATGCTTTCCTAAGAGGAATAAAAAAGGAAAAAATGCAGAGTCAGCAATACGTAGTACCAAAAGAAAAATAAGCTTTAATAGGGACTAAATCCTAGTAGTTTGGGAACACTCAATTTAAAAAATAGTTTAGGTTCTGATACAGTATCAGAGCCAAACAAGGACCAAATTGCTCTTTAGGCAACACATGTATGCACACTTTTGAGGGCTAATGTTGTTAAATCAAATACCATAAAATGTGTAGACCAAAGGATGCAATCTGGACTTAAATTCAAGTCTCTGGCTGGCATGTTTAGACATCAATACTTTGCATCTGGTTGGGAAGGGAGGGGGTTGGGACTGAGCTTTGAATTGCTTTATCCCACTGAGTCAAGTATGTTACTAAGGCAGGAAATGTGTTCAGTCTTCATATTTGTTTGGGAAGAAGTATATGATGCTTAAGAAATACCCATAGTTTCTGGGTGGTACAAATGACTAATGCTTTTGACTGCTAACCCAAAGGTTGGCAGTATGAGTCCACCCAGAGGTACTTCAGAAGAACAGCCTGGTGATCTACTTCCAAAAAAATCAGCCACTGAAAAAATTGTGGAGCACAATTCTACTTTGACACACATGCGGTTGTCATGAATTAGAACCTACTCAATGGCAACCAGTTAAGAAATATCCAACTAGCATTGGGCATGCTAAGAAGTAACCAAAGCTGTAGCTGAAAGAACTAAACTGTAAGAGGCCTAGAGTTAAAGTACATAGAACGTGTGTGCGAGAGTTTGCATGTGTGTATTTATTTACATACGTATGTAGGTATCAATAAATTTAATGCATAATCCCGACTCCCCAGCTTTCACTGCAAGATCAGATGCTGTTGATTTCCCCCGTCTGCGCCAAATTTTTTGAGGAGGGGTGGAGTCTCTACGAAGCTTCAGTTCTCAGTAAACATGCTGGCAGAGAAGGGACCTGATTTGAGGAACAAGCAGTGCTGTGACAGTCCTGAGATAAGTTGCCGTTCTCCATCTGTGTGCAGCGCAACTCACAAAGCCCTGTCAGAGTGCTCAGTGGAAGCCAGAGGCTATTAAGTTATTACTTGGATTCCTGGGGACAGAGCACCCGGCCCAGAGAACAGACTCTCGTTTTCTGGCAGCATGTCTGGACAAAGGAAGCATTCAAAAGCTGCTGAGATCTCGGGATTCAGAAGGCCAACAATGCGGTAGGCAAACCCCAGGCCCTGGACTGACAGGGACAGGGCGTGTGGAGGCTGAGGGAGGGCACAACCTGGGCTAATCCTTCTTTTCAAGATGCCAAAGATATTTGCATCATAACGGGGGAGGGGTGTGGAGCCAAGTCTGAGAAGTCACATCCCTCACTCCAGGAGCATCTGTTCCAGCTACAGCAAGTGCAGGGGGACAGAGACCACGGTGTGTGCACGTGTCTTGGTGGAAGGCAACCAGGGGTGGAGTATTGAAAAACACTGATTACAAGGCAGATGTGGCAGGAGATATTGTCATTTAGGCAAAGAAGCAGCAGGAAAATAAACTGAAGAAAAAAAAAAAAGTTTCAGTTCTTTGTACTTTATCCCATCCACATACCAGAGCTGAAGGAGAGTTAAAAGGGTCCATGGAATAACAGCCACAAACGGGAAGAAAGTGATTGTTGAGAATCACTCTATCAGGGAGCCCCGTCGCTGCCAGGGCCATCTTTGCTGTGCCTCTCGCTGAGGTAGGACACAGTTGTTAACAGCCAAGGAATTATGAGCTACGGAATGTAAACATTAATACAAATGTTCGAAACACCCCCCTCGTTGGTAAGACCTCACACATAGGAACCATGGTTAAATAAATAACTTAATGTTAGACGTTTCACAAGAAAAAGGACAAAGTACATTTCTTTCCTCCTCAAACTGCCAGTTTTCTCTGAGTACAATTCATGTGCAATACAACCCTTTGCAAATGGGCTGTCCCTTGTGGGGAGTTAAAAAAGAGTGCTCTTGCCCAGAGAAAATCAAAATGTCCTCAAATTGGGAAGGCAGGACCCGATATGAGAAAAGTCACTTCTGAGATCCTCGAGGGAGCCCCTCCTGTCTGGATGTGGTTGCCACTGTTTTATAGGTCGCTGAGTTTGCACTCAGCTGCTAACCGAAAGGTTGGTGGTTTGAACCCATCCAGTGACACCGTGGAAGAAGGCTTGGTGATCTGCTTCCATAAAGATTACAGCGAAGAAAACTCTACGGAGCTCAGTCCTCTGTAACATGTGGGGTCACCATGAGTCAGAACTGACTTGAAGGAAAGGTTTTTAATTTTTAAAAGATAGTTATAAGCACACAGTGCTCTTCACATACAGGATGAGTAGGACTCACTCCATCATGCTCCCAGAGTTTTTTTTCTCTGCCAGGAACCATATATTTTCTGAATTTCTTCACTCATGGGTTGCTATTGAAACCATCTAAATAAAGTGATTTGGGGAGATGGCTGGCCTAGATTTGGGAATTTCAGAAAATATTAAGAGTGTAAAAGGACCTTAGGAATCATCGGTCCAGGATGGCCAATAGATTTCATTTCACTTTCACATCAATTAGATGTGGTTGCTCAGAGGCCTGAGGATGAATGAGAAGGATTCGGAGGCTGTAGCTCAGTGGGACAATGCGTATTCTACGTGATTAGCAAACACTGCAAGGCAGGCATGGAAGAAGTCATAGACCACGTGACATCCACAGTCTGGTCCAATCTTCTCTTTCCACAAATGTGCAAACTGAGACCCAGGGGGATGAAGTGACCAGGCTAAGGTCACGTAGCCTGTGACTAGAGTGCAAAGTGAGCTGATGGAACTCCCCCGAAACCCTGCACACCTGCTGCCTTAGGCTTAAAACAGTGAGCTGTTGTTAGCTGCCACTGAGTCACACTGCACCCAACTCATGGGGACCCTGTGCACCGGGGAACAAAACGCTGCCAGGTTCTGCGCCATCCTCATGATCAGTCGAAGATTAGACCATTGTGAAACACAGGGTTTTTACTGGTTGTTTTTTGGAAGTAGATCGCCAGGCCTTTCTTCCTGGTCTGTCTTAGTCTAGAAGCTCTGCTGAAATCCGTTTTGTACCACAGCAATACTCAAGCCTCCACTGACAGATAGGTGCTGGCTGCCAGTGCATGAGGTGCACTGGCCAGAAATAGAACCTGGGTCTCCCTCATGTAAGATGAGAATTCTATCACTAAATCACCAACACCCCCCATTAACAGTAAGTACTAACTCTCAAAGTGGACATGGGTAATTCAGAGTTCCCTTTCAAGGTTTCAGCACCAAAAGCGACCAAGTATTTGGCCTTCTTAATTCTTTACTACTGTAAAGGGGACAAGGATTCACATTTAATCAGATTCTAGTACTGGCACCTAATAGCTGTGAAAACATCAGAAAGTCACTTATCTTCCCTGCCCCCTCCAGTAAGTTTTTCATCTAAAAAATTATTTCTAATTTTTCTTACCCCTTCCTAAATTCTAATTATAACAAAGCTACCTGTATCTTTATAGTAAAGTTCTTCTTGAAGCATTATTATTGGGACAACAGCAAAAAGCTTTTGTATTATCCTTCGGGAATGTATCACTCACAGGATTTCTTTGAGGAGGTACAAAACATCAACATTTAGATAAGCCCTCCAACCAGGCACCAGAATAAAATATTAAAAACAGCCTGGAATTCAAACTGAGGTAATTTAATTGGGCAAATCTGCTGCAAAGGACCTCTTGAAGAGAGAAAATATTGAAGCTGTCAAGGATTTCATTTTACTTGGATCCACAATCAACCCCCATGGAAACAACAGTCAAGAAATCAAAAGACACATTGCACTGGGAAAATCTGCTGCAAAAAATCTCTTTACAGTGTTGAAAAACAAAGACATCACTTTGAGGACTGAAGTGCACCTGACCCAAGCCATGGTATTTTTAATAGCTTCATCTGCATGCAAAAGCCGGACAATGAACAAGGAAGACCGAAGAATAAGCAATGCCTTTGAATTATGGTGTTGGCAAAGAATATTGAATATACCATGCACTACCAGAAGAACAAACAGATCTGTCTTGGAAGAAGTACAGCCAGAATGCTCCTTAGAAGTGAAGACGGTAAGACTTTGTCTCACGCACTCTAGACAGGTTCCCAGGAGGGACCAATCCCTGAAGAAGGACATCATGCTCAGTAGAGGGTCAGCAAAAGAGGAAGACCCTCAACGAGATGGGCTGACACAGTGGCTGCAACAATGGGGTCAAGCATAACAATGTGAGAATGGCAGAGGACTGAGCAGTGCTTTGTTCTATTACACGAGTCGGAACTGACTTGACAGCAGCTAACAACAACAGCAATAGCTTATTATATTTAAAAAATCAACTGTAAGAAGAGAGTATGTCACAGACCATTTCCTGCTTTCTAATTAGCCCAAAGGGCTGTTGGCTAATCAGCTGATTTTGTTTTCCTGCGTGCCACCTTGATATCAACTGCTGAACCTGCACACGTAACAATGACCGACTGCTGAGATTCAAATCACTCCAAGTGACTCCACCCCTTGATTTATACACAATAGTCACATTTTTCTACCTTGCCATATACTCAGGACAGCATTTTTTCCAATTCCTTAAGCCCTTCTCCCATCCTTAGTTGCACATTCTGTTTCTATGGGATCACATGTGCTGGAAAAGGTCACCACATTCCACAGTCCTTTACTTCTCTGAATTCCCCCCTCAAGAGAAATCCCTAGATGCAGGGTGTGGAAGGCTCCAAGAAATACAGTGGCTCCCATTTGTGTAATCTTTTACTACACAAAAATGCCTTTTTGTATTCTTCAACCACTCTCTTTGGCAGGCACCCTTGTCCTTTTCAGACTGCATAAAAAACTGAGGTTCAGAAAAACTGTAATAAGTCTCTTGGGGACATCTAGTGAGGGACAGAAAGGGTAGGGTCTCAAACTGAGGTCTACAGATACCAGGTTCAAAACTTATTACAGCACATCATGTTATATTGAGAATGATCTTCTTTGAACTTTGAATGTTTAACAATAAAATGAAAAGCCTGTCAGTCTGTCTCAAATTGTAGGCAAGTAAAATAATTTATATGTTTTACATAAATCCTGGCTTGAAAGACTTACTAACATTATAAATTATTCTTATTAAAAAGTAACACTGTCAACAACAGTATTTAAGCTACTGACCTTTGCAATCAAAGCACAGTCCCATTTAGACAAAGGGATTTCAGAGATTTTAATATTCACTTTTAAAATATTTCAGTATCTTTGAAATTGGGATGCATCTAAACAATCAGTGTGATAATATGTCATTGTTTGACTGACAGCCTAATATGTCACTGTTTAATTGGCAGCCTTTTTTGTGGCTATATATGAAATAAGAGAGCATCTTAAAATTGGCATCTTAGAGTCAATGAAATACAGTAATACTTGTTTATATGTACTTGATAGATTTCCAGTGAAAAATTTTAATGAGATAAATGACCAAAAGAAAGTCATGGGTCATACAATCCATCATCCATTGCTGGACAATCTCTAACAAGTGACTAGTCTAGCTGCTTTCTGGGAGGATCTGTGTAATAGATGTACTTGATAATCAAGGGGAAAGGTCAGCATTGTGAATGATACAGAATGTACTGTTTGTGAAGCACGTTCTTAAATCTCTTAGGAGATAAACATAAATCTCATTCCCTCTCAAGAATTTTGCCTCTCATAACCCAAATCACTTAGAGCTACTGTTGGTTCACTATTCCTCAGATTTGATGCTCAGATCTTTAGTTTTACCTGCTTCAGTTCTGATATCAAGAAGTAATGGTACAGAAGATTAACTATCGGTTTGGTTCTTGTTTAAGAACATAAACCCAATATCCAAAGTACTAGACATCTGGACCCAGAGAAGTATTTACCCCTGGACACTATTAATACTAGGAATCATTTATGCATGATTTCCCTAGGGGAAGAAGAGCTAAGTGTGATACTGCTCTGACCCATAGCGCCCGTTTATTTTATATCTCAGTGTAACTCTGATGTCTTTATCTGTGTTATGCCTTCTTACTTTCTCCTTTAGGTCCCACAACTAACATTTTCTTTCTCTGGGGTCCTGTAAAGTGTCCCTAGGTGGCACAAAGAATTTGTGTTCAAACTCATCGAGAGGTCCTGTGGAAGAAAGGCCTTGTCACCTGCTTCTGTAAAGACTACAGCCAACAAAATCCTATGGTGCAGTTCTGTGCTGCAACACATGGGTCACCATGTATGGGAATCGACTCAATGGCAATGAGTTTGGGTTTGGGGTGCTTTTTTGCGGGGGGTGGAGAGGTAGGGGAGTCCTGCAAGCTCATAATTTACTACTCTCTACCTACTCCTCAAAACCAGCTTCTCCACTGTCAGCCATCTGTCTTTAGCACAAATTTTGCCCAGCCCAATATACCTATCTATGGGGACCTGCTAACAAAAAAACACTACTTAGAAAAAACTGATTCTTCCCCAAAATTAGAATATGCGATAGAGCAGTAAGTTCAACACTGGCACTAAGTTACTGCTAAGTTAACCCTCAAAGTAGTTACTTCCTTTGGAAGAAGAGACATTTGTATGAGACACCTGAAAAGCTGCTGATCTACTTACATCACTAAGCAGGTTAAGCTCCTCATGTGTAATTTAGCTTCCAATGTTTCATCTGTAAATTAGTTCTTTACAACTCAGAATAAGTTCCCCTAAACAAGTAATTCTTAACTTTCTAGAGATCACAAACCTTTCCCCACTACCCTGCCCCCAGAGAAATATACCAACAAGTTTGTATATACTTTCAGGGGATTCACAGACCCCAGATTAAGAAGCCAATGTGCTGGACTGTACAGAACCTTGATTTTATTTATCTACTTACCTCAAAGAAGGAGAACCAAGTGGCTCTGAAAAGAACCCTGGTCTAACACAGTCAAGGTTGGCTCCTTCACGGAATACCTAGGCACTACCAATCAAATAAAGTTTAAAATAAAAAAAATTTAAAAAAAAATTCTTCTGGTTTGGGTAGAATATGAAAATAGACATTTTCCCCCCTAAACGAAGGCAGCAATTTGGAGTGGAAAGAAAATACAGAGATGATGGGAATCAGATTTTTTTTTTTCTTAATGAGCATACAAATTACACATTTTGCTGGAAAACTGCCTAATGGAAAGCAAAGATGTGCTCAACCCAGGTATACAAGATGAATGTTCTTTCTTAAAATTAATTTGGTAACCTGAAAAGATGGTTGACGGACATCATATAGGGGCAGCTAATTCAGTCACAAAGATATATCATGTTCTCTCAAGGACTCTGAAAAAATTCAGCCTGACATTGATCCAGCGGCAAGGAAGCAAGCTCTGGGTGATTTAAGGGATGAATGGATTTGAAAGGCATGCCTAATGGTTTCAAACCAACCAAAGCACCAAATGAAAAGCTGCCTTCTTCTAAACAGCAGACTGTGTTTGAATTAGCGACTTCTTTTGCACAATGTTATTTACGATGAAGCAGGTGCACCAGGATAAGGTGGTTTCAGGTGACAATTCAAACTGGAAAAGAGGTTGAGGAAAAGATGGGTGTGGGAACGAAATTAAAAGCCATTCCTAAATGTCTGGTATAGGTGATCTGAAACTCTCCACCAGATCGTCAAGTCAGCACTTCCTTTAAACTAAAGAGAATGAGAGAAAAAAGGTAGGAGTCAGAGGAAAAAAAAAAAAAACATTTCTTTCCCAATCCCTATTTCATTGCAGTGCTTCAGTGAAATACTCAATAAATGCAACCTCTTTATGTTAATCATTACGTTTTCATTCCCACTGAAATGCTGTGCAGGTATCCCAATCAAAAAGAGGGAGAAAAAGTAAAGTAGATGAAAGTCTCCCTATCAAAGTTGAACTTTGAAAGCATATTTGTTTTGTGGGGAGAGGTTTGATTAATATCCTGGAATTACTCGTTCCCAATTCCCATAGATTCC